TGCCCTCAGTGCACCCCCAGCACCCCAGGACTCAGCCCCCCCATGGGTGCAGCCCATCCGGGGGTCACTGAGTCCCCAGTGCAGCCCCCAGAGCTGCTGGAGCAGAGGGGACCCTCCTGAGACCCCCCAGTCCCCCCAGACAAAGCAGGGACTCAAGGGGGCTTTTCCACAATTTTATTCCAAAAATAAATTCGAAGAGGGGTATAAGTTATGGGGGTGGGGGGCAGGAGCAGGGCTGCACTGGGGGGCAGTGCCCACCCCCTGCCCCTACCTCCTCTTGTCCTTGATGCTGTAGTGCAGCAGGAGGGGCGCAGGCTGTGGGGCAAGGGGGGGTCAGGGCTGGGGGATTCCAGCCAAGGACCCCCCTTGGGGCAGAGACCCCAGATCCCAGCCCAGGGACTTCCCCCAGGGCAGGGACTGCAAACCCCAGCCCAGGGAACCCCCCCATACAGGGACCCTCCCATCCCAGCCCATGACCCCAGACCCAACCCAGGGAACCCCCCCAGACAGGGACCCTCCCATCCCAGCCCATGAGCCCAGACCCAACCCAGGGAATCCACCCAGATAGGGACCCCCCAGCCCATGACCCCAAACCCCAGCCCAAGATCCCCTTGGGATGGAGACCCCAAACCCCAGCCCAGATGTCCCCTGGTACAGGAACCCCAATCCCAGCCCACGGACTCCCCTGAGGCTGCACCCCAAACTTGGCCAACCCCTTTGGGGACCCCCCATTGCCTGACCCATGCAGGGGCCAGGGACCCCCCAAATCACCACTGCAGCCACCGACATTAAAGATCCTCAATCCCCCAACCCCACACTGCCCCAAAGCACCCCCAGAATGTCACCCCACCACCCCCCCACGGGGTGAACCCCAAAATCAGAGGCTGCCATCCCTTATGATGGGTGCACACCTTGCCAAACCAGCGTGAGAGCCAGAGCTGCTTCATTGTCATGTGGTCGGGGAGGGGCTCGTTGTCAAACAGGATCTGCACCTGCACATGGGGGCTGCATCAGGGGGGCCAGGACACCCCTGGGGGCTGGGACCCCCCCCCAGGACCCCCACTCACGTGCTGCAGGGACAGCCCCAGGCGGTGGCACAGGACCCTCCGCAGGTGTCGGATCTGTGCCCTCACCGAGCACCTCACGTATTTCTGCTGTGGGGGGCAGAGAGGGTTGGGGGCTGTGGGGGTCTCCAGGGACCCCACACACCCCTGGCAGTGACAGGGTGACAGGGCTGGGGTCTGCAGGGATCCCCACTTACCTGCAGCATGGCCTTGCTCTTGTCCTTGCTGGAGCTGTGGCAGAGAGAGAAAGGGACACGTGTCTAGGGTCTCAAGGGTTGGGGGCCATGCCCAGTGTCCCCTGTGTCCCCTCCCCACCCCACTGAGGAGCTGCAGCCCCCCAGACTCACCTCAGT